ACTACATCTTGAGAAACCCTCAACCTCCCAAAATATGGGATAAAACTATGCCAAAGTCCGTCTTAAAGCACGTACCTTCGTAGTACCCCAAAAAAATCAGTTCAATCCCCATAACAATGAACCCATAAACAAACTAGAGCCGCCACCCTCAAAACTAAATAAAAACCAGGAACAGAGTAAAGCAAACTAACAAGATGGAACATATTAAAACCGGCCAGGTGTAGGGAGCAAAGTTTAAAACCATTCATCATGAATAATACTGAGCAATAGGGTATGTAACATAACTGCGTTTGTTTGTTTATTATCGGTCCACACATACATACCGACAATACAAAAAGAATAAAGAATAGTACGTACTCACTCTCCGTAATATATATAGATTCTACTTTATACAAATAAATGACGAACAGCAGGGATAAGAATAAACAAGGGAAGTACTAATATTGTTGTAGTGATAAAGAGGCCAGATGATGGTGGATAGATTGAAATCTCCCAAAGAGATAACGTAAGTGGCTCTGATGAGATGATGAGTATATAATTCGATCAAGAATTAGAGCCTCTGGCGCTTGCATTCGGGAGGGAGGCCCTGGGGGAACCTGGCAAGATCGGAGCAGTAATTGTAAATCATAAACTTGCTTTGCACCCAACGGAGTCTGTTCCTCGCTCTGGCGTCGAGATCTTGAGTCTGCCAATCCTGCGCAGACTGGCCGGCGCCCCCCTGCCCGCCCGTTGTTGCTGCTGCCATGGTGCAAGAGGAGGTGGACGTCCTGGCTGACCACACACAGCCGTTGGCGTTGAAGTCCCTGTATGAGGCCGTGAACGGAGCATTGCTCCAGTCGGTCTTCACCCGCCCGCCCTGCGTCGCCCAGTCGTCTGCGTTCCACAGACTGGCTATGACCTTCATCGGCTGGTTCTTCGGAAACGGGACGCCTATCGCTTCGTTGTTCCCGAACACTCTTATGGGAATGTTGTCGATCATGAATCTGTACCAACAATATATATATATATATATATATATATATATATATATATATATATATATATATATATATATATATAATGATGAAATCAAATCATCAGTCAATTGACTAAATACACACACATGCAGTACAGAATAAATAATAAAGCTAATTAATCAACTGGGCGTATTAATTAAGCATAATTACATACATGATGCGGTGAGGATTCCAGACAATGGAGTAGTTGTGGAAGGCGGCGGTGGGGTCGAACCATGGCTGGAAGCGCTGCTCTTTGTCCCCTTTCCCTTGGGAGTAAACATTTGTGTGGATTGTGTATGGCTGTCCCGACGAGTTCCCCAAGAACTCGAAATCTACCTCGTCGTGTGCGTCTCCTTGAGAATACAACTGTTTTTATTTATATGAAATATTCCGCATCCTCAATAATCAGAAACATTTCTATGTGTGTGTATATATATATATATATATATATATATATATATATATATATATATATATATATATATATATTGAAATTAAAACCAGGCCAATTATATAGTTAAACAGAATCCAAATTAAATGAGAGCTAGGTGGGCAACGCGCGGTACGTACGTAAAAGGTGGTGACGGTGCCGGCGGAGTTTCCGGGGACGAGCTTGAGGCGGACGTCGAATCTCCCGAAGAGAAAGTCGCTCTTGGATTGAAAGCCAGAGCCGGAGGAGTGGTCCAAGGTCAGGTTGAGTAGGCGCCCGCCTTCCAGGACCTTCACGCGTTCGTCTCCGCCGTAGGTTGGCTGCGTGTCCTCGTAGAAGTTGCCGGCGGCGGAGGCTGGCAGTATGACGGAGGTCATCAGTAGGATTAGCGCTAGTGATGATGAGATCACCGGCGGGACAAACAGGAACTTCATATCTGAAATAATTATTAGTGGCCGGATTATTGATTCTTTGTGCTGAATTCTGATTATTATTAGTAAGATAGATGGGTTAATTGAATAAGATAGAGAAGTGGCCTAATTAAGCGCATATATTTATAGCTGCAATTGTATGAAGAATCGAGGAANCCAGAGCCGGAGGAGTGGTCCAAGGTCAGGTTGAGTAGGCGCCCGCCTTCCAGGACCTTCACGCGTTCGTCTCCGCCGTAGGTTGGCTGCGTGTCCTCGTAGAAGTTGCCGGCGGCGGAGGCTGGCAGTATGACGGAGGTCATCAGTAGGATTAGCGCTAGTGATGATGAGATCACCGGCGGGACAAACAGGAACTTCATATCTGAAATAATTATTAGTGGCCGGATTATTGATTCTTTGTGCTGAATTCTGATTATTATTATGAGCTTGAATGTAAGATAGATAGAAAGATGGAACAAGAGGAGTGGCCAGAGCGCTCATATATAGCCGAAAGCAGATGAGAGGTTTGGAGGAGGGAGGAAGGACGGCCTGGTGGCGGTGGTGCTTAGCTGTTGGGTGCGCGTTTTTTTTGTTTATAATAATGAGGGGCGTGTGCAGTAAGTAGGTGGTACGCGTTTGAGTCAGGGACCCGTTAAACACAAGGATAAAGCTACTTGTACCCCAATATTTTGTACCCGCAGTTTTGCACCAACATTTTGTGTTGGTGTAAAACTAATTTTTGTTAACGCACAACACTTTGTATCCGTGTAAATTTTTGTTAACGCACCAACATTTGTGTCGGTGTAAACTATTAAAATGTTTGTGTATAACTGTAGTGTACAAATGAAGTATAATTTTTGATGTAAATGTAGCATGGTGGTAAACACAAACATAGATAGACTACACGACAAGAGTTTGTGATAAATGTGTGGTTGGATTACAGATTTACACCTCTCCGCTTTCCTTTCCTATGCTTAGCTGTCTTTTTATTTGGATATTTTTTTAAATTTTGTCTCGCTCAATAATGATATGCCGTTTTGGGGGGCAAAGAAACGGGAGCTCATTTGTGTCAAATCTGAGGTGTATTAAATATTTTTCTTTTATAGGATCCTTGAATTAGGCAATAAGATATTTAGATGGAATTACATCAAAAGATTAAATACAATTAATTATTTATTTTAATTCAAGAGCTTATATATGGATTTTATTTATTTTCAAATTTTGATGTGGGACACTTTTTATCAGTTCCTAACATATTCCACAAAGACAAAAGAGTTTAATCCATATCCGCCCACCCGTTACATATTAAATTTTTTCAAATTAGTTTTACGGGGAATGAGGATTAAAAAAATTAAATAGTTTGGCCGAGATCAGGCGTTTATCAAAGTAACATTCTAAAAAAATCTTATAAAAATGTTTAAATAGATTTATAATTATGAGACTGTCTTCCATCTACTTAATTTAAAAACTCCAAATTTGTATCGCCAAATTACCCATTTGCTCGACTAGTTAGGGTTGAAGCAAAGTAGCAAACATTATTGTTCCAAACCCATTTATATTCTTCCCACCTTTTTGTGGCTCGATTAGTTCAAACTTTTCATTTATGCTCACACTGATTCGAGCCTAATCGCTGAATGATAGGCGATCTAGGGTGAGGATAGAGGGTTAGGGAATAGAAACCACCAAATTTACCAACAAATTAAAACATCGTCTGGGTCAAAAGAACCGTGTTGTTCATCTTTGGGTTAAGGACCAAAATAGGAGTAAAACATTGATTAAACTTCAAAATAGGAGTTGAAAGATAAAATCCCAAAAATAGGACTTATTATATTCTGTCCTGCGTGTGTGTTGCCGCCTGTTGCTGTTGCCAACTGCCCGGTCATGTATAATTAATTAGCTAGGCCAAATTTTGGTCATTAAAATCTCTTTGTTGCCGCCTGTTGCTGTTTGTTGTTTCTGGATTGGGTTTGGACAATTAGTGGATAGGTTTTGTTTTACTTTGTTTGTGCTCCAAAAAAGAAGGTTTTCATGTTCAAATTGAGCCAGTTTTGATGATGTTTTGATGCCAAACCCAATATAATGCCAAATAAGTGTATGATGACAAACATGACACTACATCATATCATCGATCCATGACAATATCTAATGCCAAAGAAATACATAATGACAAACATACCACCATATAATGTCATACTTGACAATATATAATGCCACAAATGCCCGCATATAATGCCACAATGTGAATTCACAAATGTCACAAGGCATGATACCAAACCAAATAATTCCATGCACTGCTCGACTTTTTTGTGACAAAATTCAAAGAAAATAAAAAGTAATCAAAAATTGAGAGAGAACTTACTCACTTTTGAAATCAGGCTTTGAGGGAGGGAGATGGAGGTGGAAAGGCTAGGCATCGGTGCAACGATGAATCTCAGAGATGTGGGGGGCATGGCGGCGGCGATTGAGTGAGGGTAGCGACAAGGGTGATTATAATCGATTGAAGAAAAGGGTTGGAGGTGGAAGGGATATCTGAGATGGATGGGGTGCATGGCAGCGGAGGAGGCGATGGCGCAGTGATTCAACGGTGGTAGCGACGATGGCATAGCGATTGGACGGGGGAAGCGCTGGTGGGAAGCGGACTCCTACTGGTGATGGTGACCTAATGACAAAATGAAAATAAACGGCCCGTGAATACTTCTAGTATTTAAGTAATAAAAATAATTATTTACTCCTATTTAGAGGAGTTTATGTTTGAACTCCTACTTTGAGGATATAACACATGTTTACTCTTATTTAGGGGGTTTTCTTTTCATCTTTTTACAATTGCCTCGTTATATTTTATATTCACTTCGTCCCAAAATACTTTATACTTTATGCAAAATGAGATGTAATTTGAGGTTTTTAAAACTTATTTTATTTAAAGATTGCTATAAATATTCAAAATAAAACTTGCATGATTAAAAACTATATCTAGCGTTCTACAAGACAAGATGTGACAAAAAATAATTTTTTTATTCTATTAAATAATCATTTAAAACTCATAAATAAATAAAAATTTACGTAACTTTTGAATAGTGAAAGAGTATTTTTTTGGGAGCGAGGGAGTATATTGTTTATGGTGACGAGAAGTGGATTACAAATGACAATGGACAACATGTGTACATAGGAAGCACCAAAACCATGACTCAAAGTAGTTGGGGTTAAACAAATTTGGACTTTGCTATGCTTTTAAATAATGTCATTCATCAAAAGCTTGATATGATGAGAAAAAACTAGAAGCCGAAAATCTCTTTTCAAATTCAAACGACGGGAGAAACAATTTTTAACCATTTGCATGCCATTGATTCTAGCAAAACACTTGCACTATGTTTGGTTCCAGGAATTTGAAAGGGAAAAGAAAAGAAAATGAGGTGGAAAAGTGTTTTTCTTGTTTGGTTAGAGGGGAAAAGAAAGAAAAAGTGGAAGGAAAAGAAAATGAGAAAGCAAAATGTACCAAGTGGAGGGAAAACCAAATTCCTTCCATTTTGATGAGGAAAATGAGAGAAAACAATTTTCTTTTTTTTTCCTTCCAAATTCCTTGAACCAAACGTTGTGTTGGTGTGTTTTTTATGGAACTAAAACAAAATTTTATAGGTTTGCATGTGGAGATGTTCTAAGTAGAACAAGAATATGATTGTTTGGGTCTGGATATAGCCGTTGAACCTCTCGTTTTTGGATGGAGTTGTAGGCCTTGACGCCGGGCATAAGCATTATATTAATTTGTGGGTTGTGATGATCAAGGTTTACAATTTGTAGGCCAAATATTACTCCACCAAAAATGGGAAGTGGTGAGAGAAAACAAAGCAAAATTTTGAATTAAGTGGAAGATCAGATTAGAGCACTCCTCAATTAGATATTGAATCCGTAATTCCGTATCCTAAAAAAATTCGGTTTTACTCCGTACATGGGAAAAATCCAAGAAAAACAAGGTTGTGCTTAGCTGTTTGGGTTGGGTAAGAGAGTCGGCAGATTAGGCACGCGTTTAAATAATGGGCGTGTTTGGCGTCTGTTCAAGTCAAACACATGTTTTAAAAAGAAGAATGTATGGCTGTCATTTCTGGTCCAATTTCTTTTGAATGGACTACACCTCTTCGTTTGTGCTCTTGGATACTTTCTCCGAGTACCATATTTGTACCCCAATTTGTACCCCAAATCATTAACTTGACATTTAATGTAGGTGCAACACTAGCATATTATAAATTTTGCACCTACATTTAATGTCAGGGCAAAACATTGGGGTACAAAATGGGGTATAATATGGGGTACATGTAGCATTACCCTACTTTCTCCATACTCAATCCATCGTCCTCTTATGATTCTGTAAAAAAAAAGGTTGAGGGGCATTCCGCAATTCGCAAAATAAGTAGTGCAAAAAGGTAAGGCTCCACCATTTGCCACCAATCTGCTGATACACACACGTATCAACTAGGGAAGGTTTAAGGCACCTTCAAGCTTATGGAGGCAATGAAAAGAAAAGAAGAGAGAGGATGAAGGGAGAAGAAAAGCTTTGAACCGCTGGAGGGAAGAGGAAGGAAGAGAAGAAGTGGGGAATTAAGGCTAGAAAGAGAAAGAGAGTAGGGAAAACTGGTTCATATTTTTCATATTCTCCCATGCGGATGTACACCACCTTAAATAATGGTTCCCCAAACCCTAATTAACTAATGTCTATCCTGTCGGTTCAAAAAAAGCATCGAGGTAAAGAACCGAAAAGAAACCTTCGAAGGAGCTTATAATTTATTCACCTAAGAAAATCTAAGGTACACCGACAATAAAATTAAATACCAATAAAATATTAAGTCTCGTAATCCTTCCGCCACGCCGGAGGTCTCCTTAATTTCAATTCCCTCGACCACCGATGTAACTCCTTGCATGGTTGTGCTCCCACGTTGTCTTGCTCCGGTGCCTGCGTCCCTGGTTCGCCATGCACCTTGCCCTGGGATTCGGTCGTAACATCTGCTATCAAATTTGAATTTACCTCCTCTTAGTGATCGTCCGGTCGGTCTCTTAGGTGGTGTTTGTTTTTTCTGCAGGAAAAGGTCTGCGGTCTACGGACCACTACTGTAGACATCTGCAGGAAGAAGACTGTTTGTTTTTTTAATGTCTGTAGACTGCTATATAAATTAATGGTGGTAGTGTATGGTGGTGGTGTATGGACGATTGTGGTGGT